AAATTTGACTCGTTTTCAAAGTGACATCTATGCAATATTAGATCTAGATTGAGGGTGAGGGTGGGGGTCTACAATGCTACCTTGCTCTGTGAGCTCGAAATGCGGCAGAACCTCAATAATAATAATAATAATAATAATAATAATAATAATATAATATAATATCGCAATATACCAATATGATCGATATTATATGTTACATTCAATTTCATTTGTTTCGTAACAAGAAAAATACTCGAATCTAAAAAGTCTGTTTTAGATGAAAATTGCTGTGAATGTAGAGCATAATTGAGATTGAAGATTCATCGAGGTTTTATTGCAATTAGGGTTGCCATCTACTCAACTATCAGGTGTTTCTGTACTGTACTTTCTTCCTTGATTCTAAAGTATATACTGTATTTATTAATGAAAACTGAATTGACTTATCTGAATCACTCGATTAACCAAAAAGCTTTATATATTTTGAACATGCTCATTATTTTGAAATGTATACAACGTACTGTGACGAAATGTTAATAATACATTTAAAATTGTGTTACATATCATAAATCCATCAACTTTATCACTACATAAAAGTTGTTATTTAAGTCTATTGGTTTTAATGATCTTATTAATTTCTATAAAATGAGAAAACCTTACCTTGATCTTACACATTACCCAACATATACGCTTTCAATTTTAAAGTGTCTTACTTTTCACTGTGTAAAAGGTGGCAACCCTAACTACATATAATTGGAACAGTCAAAGGCAAAGAGTGGGGAAACGCATTCGTGGAACACGCATCAACAACAAAATAGATTCTTTCTTCGACCAGACTATATATGAAATTATTGTCATCGATGTTTGTCTATATCGTCAACTAATATAGGGCCAATTAGTGTGCTACTTGATATATCAAAACGACGATGTACGAGGCACAGTACGCACAAATAGTCAACTAAATCAGTGGTCGCCAACCGTGAAAGGTTTATAAAGCTTTTATACAAATTTCATAATATTCTTTCAACTACATTTTCAAATCTTATACATGTATATACACGTATATGTATTCACAGATGGTCAAATGACATGACAAAGTACGATAGAATAGCAAAAGAGAAATTTTTGAAAATTAAGTAATCGTAAGTTAGCAACCACTGCACCAGAACCATTACAAAAATGGAGAGTACGATCGTAGCATTTATTTCTCGCGTCTCGACCCGATTGCCCTGCGAATCACGCTTCCCCGATTGCAAATGTTTGTTGACAAGGCTGTTTCGTCATTTTTTTTATTTTTCTTTCTTTTTTTTTTTTAATTAATATCTGGAGACAGTTATACGATAACCCGATAATATTTCACCACAGGCACGAAATAGTCCAACAGTAGTCATCGCTATTCAATATTACGTAATAGTAATGCGTGTATATTAATATTAGAATTTGCGCTATACTTTATTCGTTACACCTAGCGTCGGGTCTCTTAATCGGAGCACGAAGGGCCACAAGCGAACGTTATGCAGGGTGCACGGTGTGTTTCGAGCAACCTTTTGTATAATTTTAGAAGAAACAGGCACAACCGACGGCAACAATGAGCTCGTGGAAAAGCGTTTCGCGATCATTGCTAGATACTTTGAGAAAGTCTCGTTCCATCGAACGAACGCTATTTCTTCTGCTTTTCGTTCAATTGTTTCTTTTTCGTATCTTTATTTTCGTGCCGATATACTTTCCACCGCAAGAATGCCCCTGAGCCACGATTATAATGCGACAGAAAATCGTTTTTCCACCCATAAATTATAACAGTAATTTCATTCACAACAGTAATGCCATTAATCGTTAGTTCGTGCAATACGAAATTCTAAACGACAAAAATCAAAGTTTCTGCTCAATTTGAATTCCATTCCGGGACATTCTCTCCAGGTCTCCAGCACACGTGCCCATGTATCTTCGCGAGACTATAATATCGATTAATTTACGTATGTCGAAAGGGATCAACTTGACTCGGGAACCTAGCGAATACCTAAGCATCGTTTAATCGACGACGAAATTTTTTCGGAGGTGTCTAAACTACGGAATTGAGGTAGAATTACACCATGGTAAATTCGAGATGACGTACACACATGCGAGGGAGATTACGATTCGCTCGTAACTTTCGTCGCCGCGCTGGAAAAAAGAAGAAAAATAATGAAGAATCGTTATCGAATTTCAATGGCGACCCTTTTGCGAGACCGTAATTGTCACGACCGTGGATGCTAGCGTCTAATTTCGAGACGTTACCGTTAACTGTTATCATTGTATACCTAACGATATTATCGATACACGTTACATTTACGAACTGACTCTATGTAACAGCTATAATAGTAATGATCTATGCGCACTATCACCACATCGGTTTATGCTATATGCGATGAGAACTCCACTCGATAGGAAACAACGAAGTCAATCCGATGCGAAGATGCATCGCCAGATCTTGGAATTAGCGAACGTGTTATCTAACATTTAGACGAATTTGACTTAATCAACCCTTGATTATCAACACTTCAAACATTCGTTGAATATAATTTGGTATGTTATTAATATAAAACTGCAGTACGACTTTTGATCAATTATCTTAAAATTGATAATTTGAGATATTATTCATTCATGCATGATCCAATTTCGTAATAAGCAAAACCCTTCATTTATAGAACAGATAGGATTTGATCATTATGCTAAGAATAAATGAAGTAAGACTTGAGAAGTAACACTCATTTGTGTCTTCAAATGACCCAAGAATAAAAATTTGATTGAAAAGATTAAAAAAATAAGGACCATAATTTGTTTGATAAATTTACGGTTCCCTGTACGAGTTGAAAGGAGCCACACAGAACACTCTGAATGTATCTATCGAATAATAAAGAAGGTGTTCAAGAAATACTTCGTTCCAAATAACTGAAAAAAAAAAAAAAAAAAAAAAAAATTAATATGTTTACTTTCACCCGAAAATTCCCCAGCAGCTTGTAATTCCTAAAACCAACCAAGAAGTCAAAGATGAATAACACATCCGCATCGATGATCCCTGAGATCTGGGGAACCGATCTTCGCAGATCGTCTCTAGCTAGATTCCAGCTGGCCCTGCTACTAACGCGATCGGATAATAATGGAAACTCAACTCTTACGTCAAACTCACCGGCCGTTCCCTTACAAAATATTTGTGCTGTTTTATACAAAAAGAAAAACTTAAGCTTAATCTCCTTCCCTCCCGTAACTGACGAACTCTATACACTAAAGACCGCGATAAGGTATGATACAGTGTTTGTACAAACGCGTCGCGTACGTGTGTTACAACTTGTAACAAACGTCTCGGTATTACATTCCTGCGAGGTTACGCGTACGCTTATACCGCTTATATCCGCGTAATTACACTCTAGGAACATCTTGAGGGCATCGTTAATGCCCTGGCGATTGCGAGGCCCTCGTTTCCGGTTTTTTTTTTGGCGCCTCGGCGATCAACGATTTCCGTGAACCGTGCCGATTTCTAAAGTTACACGCGTCGATTTCAAGGGCCGATCCGCGGTCGTTGATGAAGAAAAGTCGACTCGACGAGGAGGACATCCGCGGACAAGCTGTCGGCTTGTAAATCTAACGTCATCGACTTTGCCTCGTCGATGAAGAATACTCTACAAAGTATAATCCCATTTTGTGCCAACTCTGTATGATACATACAGAATCGATCCTGTGTATACTCGTAGGTAACAAGAAATGCATGACTGGTCGACGTTATTCGCGAGCTTAATGCTGTATGTACAGACGTATTTACGTTTGCGTCGTCGCTCGTCGACTTCAACGTATACCGACGCATTAGGATGCATAAGATCGCTTTTAATTAACCTCCACGATTAGTGGTATTTTCGAAAATGCAACTTTGAGCGTCCCTGGACAGGTCTTACTCCTTTTAAGAGGGTAGCGCTTGTCCAGCATCGTCACGTTGTCTCGTGCGATCGAATGGATTCGTGGAAGATCGCAAGAGTTGCTCTTATGCTAGGTGTCCAGTCGAAAGTTCGTATAGTACGCGCAGTAGTCTGCGTGCTAGCAGTCGTCTCGGTATTCATCTGCTCAAAGTGTATTAATACGAGAAGGAGCTATTATTTCTAGAAAAAAGGTTCTCCAGTGGACACCAAGCATCAAACTAATCGTACAAAGTATCAGCTGATGTTTACAAGAGGCTACGCGATAGAGTCTCGAGGTTGGTTTGCGCGCACACAAAGAACACTTATACGCACAATTGTTTCAATTGAATTACACTGTAATTTAGTTCTAATACATTGTACTCCAATTGCGTGGTAATTCAATCACGTTGCAGTCGAATTACATAATTAAAACTTTTCAATTAATTAAATGGCTAATTACTGTTATCGTGAATCTAATTGAATTACAATGTAATTGAAATGCAAAGTTACTGAAATACAGCTTTCCAGTAAAAATTGATGAATAATAACATATTCGTCAGTGGTGATTACTTCTTTCTAGTAGCTTGTTTCTAGCTTTTATTACATCTCTTTCATTACAACAATATAATTGAACGAGACCTCTGAATTACAAATCGCAATATAATTGAATTACTCTGCAGTGATATTTCATGGAGTGATTCAATTGTAATTCTGCGCAACTCTGTTTATACGTTATGACTAGCTCTTTGCAACCATTAAACACGTAACATTATGCAACTTACACATTCAATGTATACACGTGACGCGAACCAGGTTTGCGTATACGTTAAAATACAAAAGGGGCGAGTGTTCTTCGTGAACGTCGGCTTCGAGATCCGAGCAACTCTGACACGTGGACTGATTTGTTAGAATAGGTGATCATCGTTCGTCTATGTATATCTCTCGTTTGGAAGATAATCGGTTCGTTTTGTCAGCGGGTTCAAAGACGTATTACGATTACGATCGTGTTTCTTTTGTGGCACTATGAAGGAAGCTTTGTTCCGAGTACTTGATTCGACGGCGAGTGGTTAAGGGGACTCGAGAACGCATGGTGCCCGGAGGCGAAAACGTGATTATCGCGTTTCGTCGAATCGAGCATCGGGTAAGCTTTATTTGTACGTCAAACGGCGCTCGAACCACGAGATTTCGGTTAGTGAGCCAAGGTGTCTTTGCCACAAAGTACGTCCCTGACCGCCCTGCTGCCGCACCCAGGTTACCCTCGACGACCATCTCCTGCCCCATTGTGTTAAGCTTCTGCTCTCGGTGATTCAACAAATCGCAAAAACTGCAGCTTGGCGTCGCTCGCGGACTGCGGTGCTCGAGTGCAGAAAGCGTGAAACGAACAGCCTCATCGTGACGGTTCCATTCGTTTTGGAGCTCAGCGTGGAATCTGATTCAGGTGAACAATTATTATGCTAGGTATTTCGACTTCCTCTGGGTGACTTGCTTTGTTAAATTGAAAGAATTATGTCACTCTCGGTCGTCAAGTCTTATGTTGATTGTATTACTGTCACGAGTGTATTCATTGAATCCTATTGTAATTGAAACTCAACGATCTGAAACACGCCTCTCTGTTAGGGATTAATGACTGGACTTGCAAAACTATGTGTATTACATGTTTTCATAAGACAATATTATGTAAAAGCCTTGTATAATTTTCACAAACTCGATCAAGATTGATATGGTTCGATATACAATTAAACACAAGGGTTGATTCTATGTAATACTAGCTTATGACTTCGAGAACTCAATATGCTTATCGCTCAATATATATTACCCCTGATGTAGCGACAAATAGTGACATTCGAGGTGATTTTCTCGACTTATGTTTAAAGCTGTTTAAAAATTCGTAAGTACCACAGGATGTCTTACATCCCAGGTAGAACGTCAAAACACTTTTGTATTAAAAGCATTTCTCTCATTTCATGGTCGCCCCCAGCGAGGTTTCTTCACGATTCCTTCACAGTGTTGCCTAAATAATTTTGCAAAGTACACCTCGAAGAGTCGAAACTCCAGATTCCACGCTTTTCCACGCACGACTAATTTACATGTAAGCAGGACTGCACTATTGAAGTGTATAGCACCCTGCCAAATGCTAGTTAGCAAAATATCGTTTAGACATAGCTAAATGTTGAAAGAAAATACTCGGCAAGCGCCTACGTTTCGCGGCACGCTGTGTTAACGACGATAACGAATTTAAAAAGAAAGAAGAATATTCAGTGAGAGTTGCTCTGCACTACCAGGAATTCTTTAAAGATCGAAGTTGGTGAGACGCGTAAGTGGAAGTTGGCCTGTAAATATTTCACCCCTAAAAGGCACTCCAATTGACGGTCCGATTTATTGTCGTTGCACCAACTTTCCTACATGGAAGAACGTTTCCTTCGTGCAGAGTTATCGTACGATTATTGCAATCCAGCGAGTTTAAATCGAAATAGAAGTACGAATTGTCTGTACAAAATTCCCAGTCGTTAATGACGAAACGTGCCGCAAGCTGCGTTCAATCTTTTCCTCCGCTGCCACTCAAGCCTTCGTTCGCCGTTCCAAATAACACAGACAGTCGAACGATTTCCACGCGAATCGCTAAGAATACCCCGAAGTCTTGAGATGCCAGGGAAACGTAACACTAGAGCGATTTACATATAATAGTGCCGTCGACGAAAGAGCTAGCGGGGCTGATTATTGCTTCGGCAAAATGGCTTCAAGTTCAAGCAGCGTAAAGCGTTTCTTGCCGCGGCTATCAATTAGTTGAAGCTGTCCCTGTACGCATTAGACATAGACTTCTCTGATATGGCTGTGTTATTGCCATCGAAGACGTTGAATTTCAATACGCGCGCGACGATCCCTAAATTTTCGATCGCTTAGTCAAACTTTTCCATTCTTCAGGGTCATCCGCGCGTTGAAATTCAAGCGTAAAAGTATTTGCTGAATCGTGTGCTTCGAATGATGTTAACTCGTGTCTCGTTTAGTCACCGACTGATCGAGGTGACTGCAGGTTAAAAGTACGCATCGATTTTTTAGAAACTTGACATAATTACTCGACAGAGTGTCCCTTGGACCATTCCGAACGAAGCAAGGAAATTAATGTGTTAGAAAATTCGAAGACTCGTGGTTTCAGCGTATTATCGATCGCTGAAAGCACAAATCACGAGTAAATGGTTTTTACTTGGAGAAATCGTGAACGTTTTGCTAATCGAACGTCACGTTCGGGATGCGTGCGTTTTCGTGTAAAAAGCGTGCGTACATTTGGTTTCCTTGGTTCTCGTCGTGTTTCATGGCAGTCACGTTCAGCGACCTCACGATCGCTCTTACACGGTGTAATTCAAGCGGAAAGCCCGCGAATTTTCTATATCGAGCAACGCAGAAACGTGTACCGTGAATTAATCGCTGGAACGTAGCTTCGCGTTCGAAGCAATTACAATCGAAACGTACACGTCGATGATCCGCCAATCATTATGGAAAGTAAGCGTCCTCAAAGATCAATCGTTGCGTACAAATTCGAATTCGAATCAATATAGCTGTAAACAATTCCGCGATCAGCTTATCAACCTATTTAATTTTTTATTCGATCACGAAGCCAAGTTAAATTGGCCATGTAGCACCGTTGCAATCATCTTGATTGAAGTCACGTAATGAAAATCTCAATCGACGTTCGTTTCTGGTTTACTTTTGAGAAGAACGACATTTTTTATTCGTTGTTGAACGTCTTAAAAATTAAACGAAACTTCGAGAATTTGTGCTCTGTCGAAGATGCTCTCGGAGGAAATCAGTTTCTGTTGCATCAAATGAAGAATTTGATTTTTCGAAGGGACTTCTCAGTGTTATAAATACTTGTGGAAGAATAGAATATAATAGACTGAGAATTATAGTAATGTTTCAAGTGATACTACTGCATCCCGCTTGAATTGTATTTGTGGAAAAATTCAAATTTATTTTAACACTGCAATAAGATTCTTACAATTCAGCATCAACGAAATTCCATGGAAATGTTATTACACGTATTATTAAATATTTTTTAATAATACTCTTAGGGGCCAAGTGATATTAAAATAGACCTTAAAATGAGTTTAAATTTTACTTCGATACCAGCAAAATTATTCATCCTTGATGAAGTTACAGTATTTTTTAGAGATAAACTGATGAAAATTAAAAATTTATAACTCACTTGATAAAGTATTCAAAGTACTTAGGCCTCGGATTCTTGGAATTACTACTGTATGAAGATTCCGTGAAGGGTTATTTCCAGAGAAAATGTTTCTTCGTGGTGTCAGCATTGCAAACACTGTAAGGAGCTACAAAGAATAATTAAGAGAAATCTCTTCTTTTTTAATTCTATCCACGAGCATTACTCTTAGTTTTCCGTGTAGCTTAGTTTACAAGTGAATTGTCACGGCTATCTTTTTATTCGCGAATATATTTACACTTACATTAATTTTTGCAGTCGTCAAGCCTGAAACCTAGCAGGTATAAATATAATAAACCGCTGTTTTTAAAGATCTAACTGAGTAAATTAAATCGATGTTCGGATTAAAAATACTTTTTCCTTCGATTATTCGAATAGTCTCAGCCCTAGTGTCAACGCCGAATTGTCAAATAATACCAAACCCAATCCACACCAACCAACTTCGTTGATGCCAAACCATCCCTTCCAGAGTTCTAAAGCATACACTTAAAAACCCCGCGAGGTGTTTTTAGTGGAGGAGAAATCCCTTCGAAACATGTTAAACGTTCGTTTAACGAGTACCAGCGTGCGTGTACAGTGCTACCACGTTAAGTTGCCGAGTGTCTACAAAGTGAAGAGGACCGGGGCAAGGGGACTAGGCCGCTCGCTCCACCAGTACATAGTAGTAAGATATCACAAAATCGCGGACACGAGAAAGTTAAGGGAGTAAGCCAACCTAAGACGCACCAAAAAGGAATCAGTTTATGAATTTTTTTTTGAACAAATCGAAAATTTCTGGTAGCAAGTTTTAAAGTATTCAAAAAAACATTTCTAAGAGCAGGCATTGTAATTTTTGTATTTACGAATATGTTAAACTAAGAAACTTGCGACGATGTCGATTTATACATGAATATTCCGTGTGACTATAAGCATTTTAGCCTTGAAAAACGCTAACTAAAACGCTTATTTTATTTCTCAGACATAAAATAAGAATTAAGATCAAAAAAAAAATTCTCACGATACATATGTAACTTAATGTGTCATTAAAAAGTGCTTGTTTTGAATGTCAGATAATCCAGCATTGAGCCTGAGTGTAAAAGAAACTACAACGCCGCAATTTTGTCAATTTCAGATACTTTTACATACAAAAATTGGGACACACACCCCAAACTCATAACCAGACAATTTTCCGTTTGTCCCGAAAAAGTTCCGAAGCACTTTTTTTCGAACCGTCCCAGGTAGAGGCTTCCTCCCTCAAGTAGTTGTCGATTGCTGTAATATTTCACAGCTCCGCCGATGCATTCTAGTCACTCGCTCTCGTCGATCTTATGTCTGTTTTCGACGAACTTTGCCGCGCGGTTAGAGTTTTGATGCGATCCGCGCGGCTAATAACATTTTATCGAGAGCGAGCGGATGATTCGATCGTACGACGGCAACTTAACGTGTATGTTTTGCTGGGGCAGGCGAGGTTCTTCTTAGAAAAGCAAAAAGGAAACCCGAGTGCGGCGAGCGTCCCCCTTGGCCCGTCGGGCCATCCCAAACTGTCAGACGGACGGGTCGCTGCCGGGGGCGGAGCCCGTCTTGCTGCCGTCGACACCAGCACCGCCGCCGTCGCCATCGGCGCCTGCACCCTCTCCGCCCCTGTACGGCGAGCCGCCGGCCCCACGCGCCGACAGACCTCGGAAATCCAGGTTGTACTGAAATACAAATGCCCAAAACAACGGATTATAAAGTGGTCATCGCAGACGTTCCAGCAACTTTCAAGAGTCCTTTGTCGCCCACGAGGGTGGGCGCTACGCCGTCCTCCTAAGCCAAAAATGCGTATCTCGAGGATACGGAGTTCCAAAGGGTCGTCAAACACGTCAAATCGCGTGGTGTGACGAATGTAAAGTGGCAGGGTGGATGGATGTGTGAGTATAGAATATATGTAAAACCAAATCCTATTTCTGGGCCGAAAGGCTGAAATTAATAAACTTACTACTGCTAGTGAATATGTAAATATATACAGGGTGTCTCGTTATAATCTTTCCACGCGATTATCTCGCATAATATTCATCGTTCAAAAAAAATGTTTAAACAAAACATGCTCTATCTGAAACGTAGTTTTTTTTCACGCTAGACACGTAGCTTATCTCAAGACGAGTTCATTGACTTATATTATGTTGACCTTGAAATGTCATTTAAGGTCATTTTCATGGCTTAAAATTTTCTTCTTCTGGTGGCCAATGGAATGCCTTCTAAAAGGATTTGCAACTCATTACGAAGAAAATTATTGTATCGTTCTGCAGTTAGTATACCATTAAAAAAATATGGACCCACTAAATAGCCACCAATAATGCCACACCAAACATTTAGAAGCCATTGACGCTGATGTTCAATTGCTCGATGCCAGTGAGGGTTTTCATCACACTAATAGTGGAAATTCTGACGATTCAGTTCTCCTGTGTTTTTGAAAGATGCTTCATCCGAAAATAGCACACAGGGGAAAAATAAAGGATCACGCAGTATCCTACGCCGAGACCATTGACAAAATATCAATGTGGCACCATAATCGGCATCACGTATTGCTTGATGTAAAGAAATGTGATACGGGTGAAAATGATGTCGTCGAAGGATTCTGAACACCATAGATTGTGATACGCTGGACGTGTAGTGAAGAAGAAAACTTTAAGCCATGACAATGACCTTGAATAACATTTCAAGGTCAACATAATATAGGTCAATGAACTTGTCTTGAAATAAGCTATGTGTCTAGCGTGAAAAAAAACTACGTTTCCATTTAAAAAAACAAAGGTGACCTCCAAATCTCGGAGGCGCCTCCACCTAGAAAAAAAAACAGTGTACACCATTGAATGTCCCCCTTCAGATAGAGCATGTTTTGTTTAAACATTTTTTTCGAATGATGATTATTTTGCGAGATAATCGTGTAGAAAGATTATAATGAGACACGCGGTATAATTCAGGCAAGTATGGAGTATCTCTAATAAGAAATTGCTTTGTATAAAGATAAAGAATAGTTTAAATCGGCTGGGAATTTCATTAATTTTTTAGAAAACATGTAAAAGACTCAGGTGTTTCATAATAAATAAATATGAAATTAGATATAAAGTGATATACGTTTCGTTGGCTTAGGATTACAGCTCGAGTACAGCTCGAGCAAAATATTTTCGCCACCTGTACCCACTTCGTCTTATCTCGCCACCGACTCAAAGAAGGTAAAGGAAAATGCAGTAGCCCAAGAGAGAAATCGAAAGTCGTTTTAACCATGTATTTATGCACATATAATAAGAATAGAAGAGTCACGTGGTCAAGACTAAGTGGTCTTGAAAGACAAAAACCTTTTGCTCCGACTATAATTCCCCTTTTGTTTGAAATGTCGCACGAGAAATATTTTGGAGTTCAGAAATTATATTTTCATTCTTCATATTCAGTTGCAATTATTGTATTTATTATAGAATATTTTTGAAAATTTATTTAATTATCATGAATCGTATGTTATTCATAAATTTATTTCGTTATAAAATTAGGAATGTAAAATGTATTTTTTATTTTGTTAAGTGTCATGTGTATCTAAATATACAATATTCTTTCTGGAGATTCAGAAATTGCAAGCATATTACTCGCAAATTAATATTACCAAATAAAGGTTATTAATTGATTGTCCCGAATATAGAAAAATTATTAAAAAGAATTAAAATCCAAAATATTTGCGTACGACACGTCCACTTTCTGGTTATTAATGATCCCACTTTGTTTAGTTGCATGTGAACCTCCTCAGGAACATCGTTAACGCGACTGTTAATAGTCCCATTATTGGGAAAAGTGAATAGCGTTATTTTTCTGTCGTGTAAAAATACCTTAACAAAATTCAAAATTGACGTGATATTGTTACTCCACAAATCGACATTCGAAAAACGTATTTCATAACTGTTATATCGGTGCATCAAAATAAACGTTATTTGTCGTGGTACTCAGCGTGGCAGAATGTGACACCGATTAAACAAAAAGTTAATTCTGTTACGAAACATTGCATTGTGCCCATTCCTGTAAAGACAGCTGAAAACAGTAGATTGATTATCAGTTCACCTTTATGCTGTGCATTATGTTGTATACTGTCATCGTGTAACTTGTTAATCGAAGCGAAGCTGTTTTGATAAAAAATGTCTGCAAGAATACAGTAAGAAAATATTCAGGCCAGTTCACTACAGCGACAAAAATGCCTACGCGTAAAATGTTCGATGAAAATAGCGATAACAAGTTAAAAGGAAAAAGTATTTGACGAGAGCAAATAATCGAAAACGATCGATCAATATCCATGCCACCGGTAGACAGTTAAATAATTATTGACAGATAAATTGCCTCGCGAGAAATGCTAAATAAACTGTGCAATTGTTTAAATTAATCAAATGTGACAAATTGACGTAACGTTTCAATTTCGTTTAAGCGTTTAACGGGGAATAATTTAATTCAAATTGAACTTCACAGTTACTATCGTATTTTGCTCTTCATGTTATCAAACTTTTCAGCACCTGCTTAAATAAAGATGGATATAATTTTCATCTCTAACATGAGTTGATTGAATAACGAATTAATGAACTTTTTTTCAATTACGTATTTGCAGCGTAGGTATATACAATCAGATACGCCGTGCTAAGAAATCTTAATTAAGCATATCAATTTTAATCATTTATCAATTTATTATCAATTAAATGATAATATGGTCGATTTAATTTGCCGTATAAATTGGAATTACTGTACAACCCCTTCATAAAAGAACTCAGAATTCTCATTTCTCCACCAACGAATCTTATATCCAAATTTCTAATATAAAATCCTTCAGAATGAGCATAGAAACAATGAAGTTAAATTTCATTCGAACTTTACGCTTCTGCGTCAAAGGACCAAAATTCAAGAACAACTACTCCGTTACAGTTCCACGACAATTGTTAAACCCGATTAACCTGCTTCGCAGTTACGAGACCCGTTATTTCCACGGATGGAAACTCGTCCTACAAAAAATTCATTTCCCTAAGGAACGGCTGGATCGATCGTGATTCGACCATTCGCCCTCGGCCAATCGCGACACCGAGAACGAACGTGTACAAATGGTGACGCAACACCGCCGGTAAGCAACGTCGGAAGCGGCAAACGAACATTAAAAAATAAAGTTGAAAACAATAATTAAAAAGAAAAAAAATTGAAAAGAAAAAAGGAAAGAAAAAAGAAAGAAAGAGGAAACCAAAGTCGAACCTGTGCAAAAGAAAGAACAGCGCTTCGGCGTGCGCGCGTAGGCGTCGTGGCTGCGCGCGTGAACACATGCGACCATCACGGTGCAACGAAAGTCTGTGTTATCTCGGTAGAGTGGCGTGTCTTAGGTGCTGCAGCTGCGCTTGTTGCAACTGTAGCTGCAGTAGCTGTAGATTCTGCAGGCAATACGGTGCCTGTGGTCCGCAACCGGACGCTTGAACGGTCGATGAGTACGGAAGGACTGAGGGATGAACGAAGGAGGCGGAATTACGTGAACCACTGGTGGTGCCCGTGAGCGGCAGGGTGACGTTACTCAAAGGTGGAAAGTTGAGGCTCGGCGGTCTCAAAATGTTGTGTAATTGGGCGGAGGTTAAGGGATGGGGCTGCACGTAGGGACTCGCCGATGGTAGCAATTGGGGACTAATCGGGTACAAGCAATCCTCTTCGCCCAGGCCAGGCACCGTTGTCGGACTGAGCTCCACGTACTGCGGCATGGTGACATTGTGCTATACGATGAATACATGGAAGGACATGTACACACTTTAGGCGTGATATGATAGCGTTGCAACTTGGCCGTTCACCCTGTGCGAATATTTGTGATTCGATGATGAGAGCTGATCGAGGTTTGTCAGTCGATGTTGGAAGGTACGACGGTGAGACTCAAATTGAAGCTTAGTCATTTTTCACTCATGATTTAATTGTTTATCTACAGGTCCAAGAATCTATTCAATCTTGGAGTGTGTGTATAATAATTTGGACAATTTTGTTCAGGATTCCTTTTTCAAATTTAAAAAAAAATTGTTGTTAAGATTAAATTAATAGGAAATTCAATTCTAGTATGATATACCATGGGTTAAGATGGATCCAGTTTCTAAGGCGAATGATTAATATCTAGTAAATGTAACGTTAGTTGATTTTTAATTTCAGTTATACTACACGTTAATATTCCATTCGAGGAATAACCAAGGCCTAATTATCCTAACAAAACATAGTTAGAATCACATTAAACTTTGGTAATTACCAATTATTTCGGTACACTCAGCAATATTATTACACTTCGTCCCAGTTATGTTACTAAACTCGCTGGTAAAACTCATTCAACAATTGTTGTATTAAACGCGGAACTATTGTAACATTGCCAAACTAATTTTGCACTAAATAACTGTTGATATAACTGGAGTTTGTTCGCGCGATTAATTGAAAATCATTTAACTGAGAATTTTTTAACAAATTTTAGGTTTTTTAACTTTTCACATATTAACACTTGGTTATTACTGAAGTAGATCGTAATCGCATTAATCCAACTGAATTTAAATCACCTATCTGCTTAGGCGACTTTCGAAATGAAAGAGTATGGGAATTGACATTTCTATTTTGCTTTTTATTTAAACGTTACGAACAAAGCGTGACAATTTTCCCCTGTTTGTTTTTGTTAGAATATCTTCAATTTTGAACAGTTATCAAAAGTTTGTTTAGAAAATAAAATTTATATTTTCTATGCGCTGATAAACGATGTAAACTTCCATTCTCACATCACAACGATAAAATAAAATAAATTCCCTTAAAATCATCCAACAAGTATTCGCACAGAATGAACTGCTTACGATTTCAACCTTTTACGCACAACTATACGTTTATCAAAAATTTAAACATATCACCTGCCGACACAAAGCTAGCTATGATTAAAAATTATTGTTCAATCCTTCCTCGTAAACTCAACAACACGATGCTACGTCTTCAAACATGTATCGAAGCAAACATCGAATATAATAAAATACAAGAATAACAATATTCCACGAAAATAGCGACGATCACTGAATTTACTATTTCAAAAAATACCAGAAGGAGCAAAGACTGAACGTTCTTCCGTTCCTCGAGCGCAAAAAAAAGGAAAATAAACGTCAAAAAATACTGAACAAAAGACAAAACTGTAAGGCAAGTAAAAAATAGTAATCTGGTGCGGTTGACGTTTGAATTTTAGTGTGCGATACACCGATCGAAGATGAGGACCGATCGACGGGTCCGCGTATCTTACCTTTGTGGCGCAGACGAAACATGTGGTGACCACTTTCGAAATCACGTTCATCAGGTTCTTTGTTTCCTGAATTACGTTATCGACTTTCGTGAAGGTGGCGGCTTTCCCGACGGTGGGGTTTTTCACGGTGAACTGGAGCTGCTGGACGTACGTCGGCACACGGTCGAGGTTCTCCAGGAGTTCTTTCTTGTGCGGTCCCCCTGGTACCTGCGCCCATGCAACATCGTATACAAACTTACGTCGTCGTTCGTGTCGCAAGGCAAACGAGCTCGCGTACTGTTTACAACGATTTCGGTAAATTCAATTCTAAACTCAAAAGAAAATAGGGGTTGATATATATTTGTTGCAAGTCAGACGAAAACACTTATGTGTTAAGCCAGTTGGCAATGTTTAAAGATTAAAAGAAAAAGATACTTCTTGTGATGTTGTAGACGAGAGTTAACAAAAATGATTTTGGAAATTCTGACCTTGATTTCAGTAAACATTCAGTGAAACCAACAATTGAAATTCCATTGTTATAACACAGTTATAAATATGCAATGCTTCACCCTATTTATGTATACAATTTTCACCTTCGAGTTAACCAAGCACGGAAGAATTCAAATATAAACTAAACCTCGTATTAATTTCATTAAGGGGGGAGATTCAAGAATATTTCAAGATTTAAATACATATTTTAATCAAAATCAAAGTCCATTTTTAGATTGCAATTATTGTATGTTAAGTTAAAATTATAAGCTAGTGAAAATTGTAACAAAGCTGGAATAATTTATTGATGCAAATTTGGTTGAGATTGAAAAAGATTATATCACATATAAATGGAATAATTACTCTGAAGAAATAGAAGAGAAACTTTAATTCGAATTTGACAGACCGTTGGAAACCACCAATCACGTTTGCCTTGCGAAATGATTCGTCATACATATGTAGCGGTTCTTTTTTTTTCAAATAACTCTTTCAAGCATCGCCTGATTCTATTACTTGTTCGTCGACTAATAATAAATACTTCAAATCTCGATTAGTTGTAAGATTGCATCTAATAAGTTAACAGAAAGATCATCTATCCGTCCTAGTAGAACACAATGCAAAAGATTGAACGGAAAGTGTAAATAGTTTGAGAAGAATTAGAGAGTGACTGTGTGAATGACAGTGAAATAGTACAGACCTTGTTGTTTTTTGCAAGCTTCTCGAATGTTACATAATCAAACCACTCGTGAGATTAAACTGAATATTGCAAGTGATCACAGCCAAGACGAAGTTAAAACAAACGACTCATAAAACAGAAGAAGCGGAGGCAATTATTTACAAATGTCAGAATATTTGATTAATGTTTTGAAACAAGCATCAATGAGACAATCATTTATTGAACTTGAATGAATTCACGCTATCCCAATTTCGCAGAAGTTATGGTATTTATAATGCACGTTATGCATGAAGTCTGATGTATGCGTGATCGTTTATTATTTAATGAATATATATACATTTCAGATGCCTTATGAACGTTATGATACTTTAATTTTCAATTTTCGTCTGTTAGGAATTGATTGCGAATTATGAATACATTAGCTTCAATGAATACGGTTGCGAATGGGCGCAGAAACTTCACCTTAGCTGTGAGTTAATAATAGTATTGATTTTTATGAACAATGGAATCGGAAGCTGGCAAAAACTGAGACATTAATAGTCATGCCCCAGATAGTGGAAGGAGGGGAACCACAATGCACATAGACGTCGTCCACAGACGGAAGCATTCCCGTAGCATCTAAAACACACCTTACTAATCGTACACAAAAAAGTCATAAATGTATGTACACAAAATAGATTTACCAACAAAATAATGATCGTAGGTAATTTGATGGCGCGACGAATGAAAATTCAACGATAGTTATTCCTTTTTCTACATTTTGAAACGGGAATCGCGTTCTTGGAAGACTAGAGTTGCTAATTAACGTTGTATCAGCAAATTCTTTGTCTTTTTATCGGAAAATGAAAATAAATAATGGAAATTAACACAAAACCTGAATGTGATTCGTACATCTCGACCTAAATAACATACCAAAATTGAAAAACATAAGGTTCGTATAGTCTTTGTCGTTTCAAATTTCGATTACGCGAAACTTGACACAAGGAGAATACTTCAAACTACTCTCGATACTTATGTCCTGTGAATCTGTAGATGTTACTACTTGTCTAATTTCCCAATTTTGTCTAACAAGGAGAGGGGGAGGAGTGCAATGGTTGGGACATCAATTTAGTTGAAACTTTTTATACTGGTTGATTTTGTGATTCTACTGATGGAAATGTAGTATTGTTGGCGTAGAAACTAAATACTGAATTTTGAATATTTATTGTCAATGTTTAAAACAAAAAATATTTTTACTTACTATTCTTTATTTTTAGTTTTATATTCATCATACTTGACAACAATATTTGCAAAATCACATATATATCTTTATAATAAAACTACCAATATGCAGTTTTAACTAAATCGGTAATTAAGGCCTTGCACTCCCCTTATAAGCAAAATATTCGTCTCGACGAGCGTTTAAGTATACATTATAATGTAAACGTCTAAAAAGAGAAGCTACTTTGGGAATTACAAAGACAAGCTATAAATCGCACAGTAATAACTGATTTTGTACGTAATAGTAAATATCTTAAAAGGTAAACAAAACTTCGTTTGAGTTCATTTGTTATATAGATAAAGAATTAAAATTTAATCTTTGTAAAATATTCCAGATAAATGTGTTCTTATTAGAAAATGTTAAATATCAAATTTATTTATTAACCAATACTGTTTACTTTAGTGTGCACGATAGCTGCATGAATAAACTTCAAGACAATTTTTTTTTTTTGGTTTTAGACAAATAATTACAAAAAATTGCTACTAACAATTTTTGTTAATTTTTAAGATGTGTATTGGTAAATATAAAATCATTTATTATTGTACGACTTATAGTCTTTCTTTGTTTAATTCCCAAAGTATCCTCTCCTTTTAGACGTTTACACTAGTACGCCCTTAATTTTCCCCTAAAAGGCAACGTATCGACGTTCGTTCATGATTAATTAATTATCCACCGTAAATTAGCTCACTATCGAGGCCGCTCTAGAACTGGCCGTTCCTTACAATGTGCTTATCCCCATTGGAAAAAGAAAAGAAGTGTAGTTTACGCTACGTCATTCAAAAGAAACGATTGTCAGGGTGATCATACTAGGTGTCATGATCTTGCATAGCAACACTTGCGTATAATAAGTAATGGTAATAATAACGTGTAGTGAGAGGTAAGAGAAACGACAACATTTAACAGCAACTGGAACAATGAATTCGCAGAAAAACGAGCGGTAAATGCACGGCGATGAAAACGATCTGTACAAGGTGTGAACATGATCTCTATGAGCCCAACAAGGGTCTAAAGTAAAGAGAGAAAGAGTTACCTGGATGGAGGCATTCAAAGAGCGAGGGTCAAAAAGGGTTTCATAATACAGAATATATTACAAGGTTAGCGTTTTTTGTTGATTTCTTTCAAAAAGAGTAAAAAGAGATCAAAATGGTTTTAGGTAACTATATATATTCGGCCTAGCTAGGAGGGTCGAAAGGGCAGCAAACGTGTTAATTCGAACATGTCTAATGCTAATAACTCACACCAGAGCCACTCCTAATCCACTTGCCACATTACATTGATAATTCGGTAGTACCATAAACGGTTTCAATACTATTAAAGGATTAGAATCGATTAGATCTAACAATAGACGTTCGCGTGAGAAGGAACGTCGAAGGAAAGGAGAATTATTATCAATTTAGTTTCGAAGCAGATGCTACAGGTTCGAACAATCTAATTCGACGACATTTGTCGACAAATCTAATCGCGTTTGGATTCGACGTGGCTCGGGCGTCGCAATTACGTAAAAAATGAAACTCAATAGCGAAATCCAAGGAAAAATATCTCCAATATAGCAAGGATCAAAAAACTCGGAATCAAGTCCAGTATAGAATCCGTATAATAATAAACAACGGTAAAAAAGAATGATCATAAATAAAGGGCGATGTACGTGTATACGCGTACGTGCAGGCGCGCCTGTACGACGTACACGTATATACATAGCATCATCAACATCAGTCCAATTAAAAATGTGTACCACTTTGCAATTTTGACAATATGCGGTCTCGTTAAATGACACGTACCTGGTAGCTGAATTGTCTCACAACCTTGTACAATCTGTTCGCCTCTTCGGCGAAATACTCAGCTTGGGTGAACAGATCTTGGGTGGTCTTCAGGGCGCCCTCGCCCCTGGTGAACTGGTACATGGAGAACGCCATCGATGACATGTTTTTCGCGCGTTTCACGATGTCGTTGTTCTCCTCCAAGGCGCTACCGCTTTCCTGCCATTTCTCCGTTTCCGCGTCCATCTCCGACGTGATTAGCTTCATCTCCAGGCCCGCCTTTGCGATCTTTGCCTGCTCCTCGCTGTCTAATCTCACGGGTTTCAGCGGCTTGCTCGTGGTGCCGTGTTTCTGAAACCAAACGCGTATCTCGGTTAGAAAATTGAACGAGGAGCTTGCATGCAGCGTCTAACGCATTGATTCCCAATTTGGACGATATCGATTCTCAAGATGGACTATTGACACTCTAAAGTGGGCGATTATTGACTATCTGGATTTGGGAGGCGATGGTCGCTTTGCGTGGACGAATCGAAGGTATCTTATTTAATACATTGCAGCGGATGGGAATTGAAGTATTAATTATGGCGTTTTTAATTTCATATTTAGTTAAAAGAAGTTTCAGCCCTTAACTAGCAAAGGAGTTTCGGCGTACGACATGCACGAAGAAGAGAATGAAACGAAAAGATGAGAATGTAGAATTTCACTTACTCCTGGCCGTGGCAAGGACATATATACTTGCTTCTCCGGTCGACTCTGATTCAATTCGAGCACATCTTTCGCCACTGTAGTCACGTCATTCATGAGCCATTGCCACATGTCAGCGAATACTAGAAAGCACGAATAAAATTTGATTTATTGAACAATGAAATTTATTTATTTATATTTTCATTTATTTATTTCAATACAAGATTAGTAAATTTAATTGAAACATTTATTTGAAGATGATTTGAATTGGATGCGAATTGAATTTTATTGCGATTATATCGAATATTTGAATTGAAATGTAAAATTTGAATAGGATGAGTTACGTTTTAATTTACCTTCGAGATTTTCCTTGGCGATTTTACTAGTAGGATGCCTTGCCAATGTGTGCGCCGCTGTCACCACTTGGGGTCCGTATATTCTCAAATTAATTTCAGTGAATTTCGCAGAAACTTGCAATGACTCCGAAAGCGCAACATGTCTCAGCAATTTGCATACCTGTTAATGGATAAGTAACTCGTCGTACTACAGCAATGTAAGTCATGTCCACAAGTCACATATTAATCACTGGGATATAATTCTTGCGAATAAAGTCTATAAGCTTGAATCTGTTTAGAATTGGATTTTTCAATATAAATAAAACACAATTATTAAGCTCACTAATTTGTTATAATAATTTCTGATACAAAGTACATAACTATTACCAAAGTCATTGTTTCTTATTTACAATTGAAGTTAATACACGGTAAAAGGGAACATGAATAAAAAATAAATGTAATTCTTCTATAATTAATTGATTATTATTAATTTCAAAATTTAGATATTATTAGTGTTAGTAATTTTCATTTCAATCTAAAAATTGAAATACTTTTCAAGTATTAATCGTAGTCAATTCTTTTTAAAAAATATTTTAGTTTATATGCTAGTGTCAATAATTTTGATTTCAATTTAAAAGTTTAAAAATGCAATAAATTAATTGTTCCAACCCGGAAATTTAATTAAAGCACTCCGACTGCGAAAAAACAATTTGGCTTCGTAAGAAAATGGATCGTATATCAGAAGGTTACACTCACTTCGAGGATGTGGTCGATGTACTCGTGAAATCTGTCGCTGCTCTCTTGAAGACGATTTATATCGTTAGCCAAAGCGAGATTCCTGATTGTTGACACAAGTTCTTGGCCCGCTTTGGTTACCTGTCCGAGATCACCCGCCTGCTCCATCGTCGTTGCGCAGAGCTGCTGGCGAAGATCTCTGGTGGTACGTAATACTCCCAGCATGGCTTGCTCCATTTCCGAACTCGGAGAACCACCGCCACCTTCGTAGTTCTGAGAGGGAACGGTAACAATCATTTCACTACTTATTTTCTAAACAGTTTCGTATATTTCCAATATGCTATAAGTACACAAACACATTTGAATTATTTAATTAAATTAGAGTTTGAATTACTAATTCTCATTGACTCTAATATTAACTTTATTTGATATATTTTAAATAATAAAGTTAAGAGCGTTAAACGGGAGGAATTCTCTACTGAGCAAGAATGTTAATAATTCTCTATCGACTTCAGAATAGAATAAGTTTGTAACTATGGTTTGTAATCAAGGTTTATATTAAAGTAAATTAGAATTCCGTCAAGCAAACTTTTTATAATAAAAACCACGTATTATGGCCAAGTTAGTAAAGTAAAATAAAGTTGAAATGGCGATAAAAATTTGTTTAAATGTACAGGGTGGCTTTCTATATTTTTTGTTATATTCTGTGCTTTGTTCTACACAATTACATATCAAAAATATAATTAGACGTTTTCGAGGGCTAAACTTTATTTTCCTTCACTATTTTAAATTCAAAGGCTTGGCTGATTTCAACAGAAAATCAATACGACTTTTGATAGCCAATGAACGAAGAAATCTCGGTGTCGATAATGTCTACTAGTGGGTAGAACAATTTGCCCGAGCAAAGGGAAGATTTGGTGCGAAAAATTGCATATAATGCCGGATTATAAATGAAAGGATAATCCGAGTTGGCTTGGTTCGCATTGAAAAGAGCTGACATTCCGACGTAAATCCGAATGAATGGTGCAGGCTAAACTGAATCAGTTGTAAGAGCCTAGTGCCAGTGAATGGACACAGTAGACCAAGTGGGCAATTTCCACTTCAAAAAAGGAAGGAAGTAAAGAGACATTTTTCCCTTCGTCGCTGGACGTCGAGTGCATTAATAGAAAAAGCTACTACACGACTCAACGTGTAATATTTACTCCGTAAAAATACACAAACAACATGTTTTAATAGTCAACGGAGTAAAAAAAGAATTAAGGTACGAATACGTAATTTTCTTGATCCTGGCTTGTCATACGTAAAAATAATTCCACCTTTGAACTTACTGTAGGATCGTTGTCGACATAAATATTAACCCTTTACAGTTGGGTATTTCTAAACTTTATTAAATGATTAAACGAACTTACATCATCTGATTTTAAACACAGTTTTACGATTATTTCAAGTACAAAACAAAATAATGTATAAATAATATCATTTAAAAAAATTTCAAAGAATATCATTTTAAAAGTGCCCACAGCTCTGGTCTAGAGATATAAACTAAATACCATTCTAATAAATTACACTATTTAATACAAAGCAAATCCTGTTTGCCCATTTTTCAATTAGCTAACTCCAAATTCAAAGAACTAAAAATGTTAAAATATTGAATCGAAGTAATATATATACGTTGAGAAATAAAAACTATCTTGACTTACCATGCTGTTCCCGATTCGCAGTAACGTATTGAGCTCGAGTTTTGCTCGATCGCAAAGCAAAAGGATGTTCTCTCTGTGTTCGTGGCTGGTGTATGCGCTGTCAGTGAAGTCCTGTGTCCTTTCGACGACGGTATCGAGCGCGGACGTGAGCGTTTCTCGACAACCTGGTCCAAGGAGGGTCATTCTTGTAGTTTCCACGAGTCTCTCGAAGTGCTTCAATGCGGAAAAAGCCGTGCTGCTGTCCCAGTCCTCTTGTTGTGGACTCTGAAATTAATTACAGAGTCAGTCAAAGTTTTACAATACTCTTTTTAGACTTACACAATTCCATTTGCTCCTTAATACTGGGCTTACGCGGATTTCTATTACTAAAGCAATTCTTTGAATTTAAATGACGAGTGAAGTCGATTTACCAGAATTAATTAGAAAGCTCTGATAAAAACAAAAACACTTATATACAAAGAAATTTAACCTGCTCTAAAAAGAATTAATAAAAAGAATTCAATAAAATTCTTTAAAATTTTTTAATGAAGAATTTATTCCAATAACCACAAATACGATATCATATGCAGATATGAAGACGATCAATTTAAAATATATTATTTAATACCCGTGTAATATGGATTTTTGAGAGAGTTTTTATTTCTTTAATAGATTAAGAGGTACTAAGTATATTACAATATATTCACACTTCTTGCAATCCGTAAAGTAGTTTGACACCCACTTCAAAAAGTAATTGATTATAATTGTTACATCAATAATTGAAGTATAATATCGAACTTGTAGTTATTGGATAAAATGTTATCATTGTTATTTTAATCTCATTTTGATTCATTCATTTTCGTGTAGTAAATCTTTAGCAAAGATTCACGTTTATATTTTACGCTGAACGAGTCGTTGCTTTCGATGAAAGCTCGCGTCGCGGATTAAATATAGCGTTGCTCAGATTATAATATATTATTATGTTTACGTAGTAAACACGATCTACTATTATCATATTACGCGGAACTTTGATGCACAGTGTCTAAATATATTCTGTTCTAAGGTCAGCATACACATTTGCAGTTCAACTGACTGCGTTGAACCAACCACGAAACCCATTCAGCTATAAAATATCGCAGAGGCGGCGATTATACATTTTTCTAGTGCAATTACTCGCACGAGATCCTTGAACGCGACCGAACATCTCTCCCATTAACTTTTCTGCCAAAGCTTCTGGAATATCGGTTAATTTTCTCGTAACAAATTCACCCTAAATTTGCATAGTCTTTTAAACGGTTCGTTAATAGCCCTTGTCAAATATTGTGTCGCATTATTCGCAAGGAAAATGGTGATTTTAACTTTGATGAAAGTAATCATTTATGATTAGAGAATTAATCTGATACTGTGCGCTACTGTAACCTCGTAAATAAATTTTGTATGAGAACAAAGTGACATTAAAAGAGAAAATAAGGATAAACAGTTTAAAAATATATGCCACGAATTATTAAAATTGTTCGTAAATAATTACGATTTCTTTCTTTCGTTTATAATTCTACAAGAAATATACAAACGTTTTTCTTTTTTTAATAAACATGTGTACAATTTTAGCACCACTATTATATATCTCCACTTGAATTGATAAAAGACCCTTTGTATTGTTTTCTCATGGATTTACAAGAAGTTCGATAAATATGTCCTGCATTACAATTTTCATTCATAAATCGTTGACATAAATAAAGGCACTAAATTTCGTTTATATTCTGGAATTCATGCATGCTACGTGGGTGGAACCATGTTGGAGAATTCGTATTTTCTCTTCGATTGACCGACTTTTTAGGTCATTTCTTCCGGAAGTCCTCAGAGGCGCGCCCTGAAGTAAAAGGTAACAGGTAATAAATCTGGAAGGCTAAATGTCTAAGAACGCAATGTATCTTCTGGAAAGGAAAGTGTTCAGGTCTGTTAAGCTGATGCCTTGAGAAACCTCTCTCTGTAGGTAAAAACCGAATAATTTCAACTTATAATGCAAGCATTCAACATCATAATGTCCTGACTACATTTATATATAACCATCTTCGTTTACAAACATAAAAAATTCTGTAACACAAAGATCCTATATTTTATTATATATTCAATAACTTTAGACAATCATGCAGCCAAGTTTTTCTGCTTGTTTCATGAATTTTCAAATTTATTCACTCATTTGTTCGGATTTGTAAATCATTTTCTATATCCTCATTATTTTCTGGTTTATCTTTTAAATAATTTTTCTTGTGTTACAAATTATCAATATAAATTCATTACAATTTTGTTTACTTTGAAAGGAAACCGTTAACTGAAACGACGCCTCTTTATAATCTTGTAATGAAGAAATCTTTTGACAACTAAAAAAAGGAAACTACCCTTTTTTCCAATATCCGTGAATTCACAGACTCCATTGTTAAAATTTCTTTATAGTTTAAATACTATATTATATTTCATCAATGTTCAAAATCCTCTGTCTTATAGATGCTTAAATACAATTTCCTCTAAGGAGGGAATACAATGTCTACGTGGGCAGTACTCGAAGATCCGTGGGTGACTTTCGAGCACATCTTTCAGTTTTCAACTAGTTGTCTCAAGTGTCAGGCATCGTTCGAATGCAACGTCTAGAAACTGTCTTTCACGGTCCCTGTTTCGTGTTACGCCTCGGCGCATATAATGTGCACCGCGTTTAATTCAATTATCGCTTCGTGAGTTCGGCCGAAGTTGGTAGCCCGGTATCATTTAAACTAAGTAAATTTCACCGTGTCTGGCTGATTGTTTTTTCGTGAAATTTGGCCGACCTCCCGAGCCCGTGGCTGGTAAGAAATTTAAATAATGTCAGGAGCATTAATGCACCACGGAATCGCGACGCTGCGATTTGGCACGTGCCGAAGAATGCTTCGCGACGATTGACGACATCCATTATGGCGTTCGTTCGCTATGTGTCGGCTTTATCCGGGGTACGATATCAATTTGCATTGCTGCCGATGCATCGCGGTCCATACCATGGCTGGAGATGTTTCTTAAATTTCGAAAATGCTCGAGACGCGAGCCCGCCGTTCAGACGGTGTTGGGATTTTGGCTCGGGCATGGAACGGTTTCTGGAATGTTTTCAACTTGCGGATACCACATTTCATCGCGCGTGTCGAACGGGAAACCACCGACGAGATTAAATCGAAAATCGTAGAGAGATGTTTCGCGATAAACGGTTTTTCGAAAAAGAGCTTCAGGATTTTGTTCTTACAATATACAATATATTACAATTATATTGAAAAATAAAAAATTGAAGAATTCATTTTAAACTATGTCTAAAAAAGGTAAGTAAATATCACGAATAATACAATTAACCCCCTATAGTGCTATTATTTTCGTTAATGTAAAAGTCAACATATCTATTCGTACATTTTTCATTGTAAGTACATCTCGAATTAAAAAATAACTACGAATTCCTAGTATCTATCTAAAATTATTTAAAATTCTGCGTTTAGTTTACGTACGTATACCATGAACAACATTCTCACAATTTTTTTATTTCTTCCCACCTATAAAATCTACCCGAAAACAAATAAACTTAACAAAGTGCTAGTTTCTCGACAGATTCAAGCTATCCAATTTCCTCGCGTACTTGTTTCGACCAATTGAAGAAACCATTATAGAAATCATAGTCATTCTTCATGGTTCTGGAAACGATAGCGATATCATCTCGATTTCTCGTGTATTCTTGTTAGGTAGCCAACGCTGCACAAGGTCACCGAAATCGTGCGTTATGGGTTAGCCGCGTATCACAATTTACCGAACGAAAGCTCCTTGGATTCATTCCAGCTTTTCCCATCTATTTCATTGTAACAGTTCCTCTCTCTGTCCTCGCATGATTTCAACAAACGTACGTTCACGTTTGTCGGTAACGCGAGACGACACAAACATCGCTTCGGTGCGGTGGCGCCAAAAATCCACGATGACACGACATCGTAACACCGGGAAACACTCGATAAATTGTGTTTCCTTGAGCTTGTTTCAAGGACGTAGTGTATGTCATATTACTGGAAGATTTAATAGGTCGAACGAGTAATAAATCGCCCTGTTATGCATTTTATCCTACGCTCTACTTTCAGAGCGATTTTTTTATTTTATTGTTAATATTTGTATGTCGATACAACCGAGGATAGCAATAACAAATTATAGCTTTTCCAAAACAGGCTTTGGGAATTTTTTTTTTTAGTAAACAGAGAAACAGATGATATGGAATATATTCAGTTTATGTATTTTAAATGAAACTGCAGATGATTAAATTAAATGTGAGAGATTGTTATTAAAAAATATAATCCTAAAGTCCATTTTAGAAACATCTTTATATTTAAAGTAAATAATTTATGTTTTGACCTTATTTTCAGAACTTTTTCAATTATTTTTAGTTTCTTCTTGAATTTTATTTTACTTATTTTTTGGTTTTGAGTACTTTCATTGTAAAATTGATAGAGAAATTTCTAACGAAGTTTTTTTCCTGGACCACTTACCTGGGAGTTCGAGTACGACTGTGAGTCGCTGCAGTCTAGGACGCCATCTTTGACGACGTAGTGTATCAAATCCATGGCTCTTCTCATCTGGCAGAACACGGTGTCCCTGTTCTCCCTGGCAGATGGACACTCTGGATGCCTCAAGCACGTTTTACTAGACGTGAGCAACATCATGGTACTCCTTTCCAAAACTTGACGAGCAGCGGCCATCTGGGCCCTTCGTCGCTCATCTTTCAGATCATTCTGAAAATTTAAAACGTTCCCTTCGTTTAGTAGTATTCTATACACAGCCGTTTCATTTTTATATTCGTTGAATTATTACAAGTATTCTTTATATTGACTCCACATTAAAATTCTGAGCAGTAAGAATGGCAATTATAAATGTTTTTAATGGACAAAACATTTCTCGAACTCAAAGCATCAAATATACTTTATACCGGTCGTTTATTTCCATGATATTATTTGCTTCTATTTCCGCGTCACTGTCTGCAAATCGTGCGACATCAAAGACCGAATGGCAGGAGATATTCCTGATTTTTCAATATACAAAAAGCAGTATTGTTCCATGCAAACGTACGAGTTTCTGTGAAAGCTCTGTCACCGGAAACTAAAGAAACTGATCTTATTCTCACGAGTAATGCACCCTTTATATGTTTTTCTTAGATAAGTGAACGTCAGCCTTTTCTATTGATGCCGTTCTTAAAGTGGATAGTACGAGTTCACCAAAGCGTGTTTCCTAGAATCGGTTAGTATTTCTCAATGGAGAGAAGAAAGGGAATTCATTTATATAAAGCTTTCTGTATTTATTCCCATTGCTCGCTTGAGATATCGTGGTAACATTTCACTTTCACAAGTTTCTGTAGATATATTCTAAATTGACGTTATTTTACCATAAAAAAAATACCAGATGACTCGTGACACGTACTTTTTCGCAGATTAACAAACTGTTAAATTATAATTGACTGTTAAAGTCCATTCAAGAATTAAGGATAAAACGTTAAAAGAATTTTAACAAAAAGTATGAATTTTTCGCCGATTGTATCGAAACACTATTTTCCACGTATTCCGCAAAACCAAATGAATTCACTTTTAACGAAATATCGGAAGTACTTCGGATACGAGAGTACTTCAAATTCAGTTCCCGTCACGTTTGTTTTATATTGGAATAACAGTGTCTCCCTTATTGGTCCTGTTCGTCACGAATTTAATAGGCGGCAACCATCGATTGCTTCTGTTTCACTTGTTACAACAAGTGCAAAATAATAAAAGGCATTTTCGGAATACATTTTCGGGATAGTAATTACGAAGCTGCCGAGAATATGACGTGCGAGACGATTAGGCAAATAAGGATTAATTCACTGATCGGATTAAGACGTTGTAATTGCGTGTCTTGAAATTAGTGAGCTTAATTTCTAGGACAAAATATATGTTTGACAATGCTTGGAATTAATAATTATAGCAAACAAAAGAAGATTTGATGAGATGAACTCGTTATAATTGCTGATTTCTCGTTTTTCGAATTTTTAAGGCAATAGACCGATTTAATGTGAAATAATAAAATAAAAGCTAGATTTCTATCACTAAATCGTATATACAATATATGAAACTTGCCAGTTGCTTTTTCTATTTTATTTTAATGCAAATACTTCATACTAAAAAGCGTCATAATTTTGTTAATAAGAAAAGGAGAAATCAAAACATAATCTATGATAAATTAAAAAGACTGTAAAAAGCAGAATAACAAAAATCCATAAATTAACGAGAAGGCAATGTTTCAATAACACCTTTATTATGTAGACGAGGTGGCAATCCTCATTAGTTTGGATTAGGCATGTGGGCTATTAGTCTACGTAATTGTTCCCTTTATACCAAAGCTATGACTGTGCGATTCTATGAATCTCGAGATCAAAGTTGTAGCACTGTTAAGCTGGAGAATTGTCCACGTTCATGAATCAAGCTTAAAGTATAATCTTTGTTGTCATCTAACGTACACATCTGTTGTATTCAGATGATATTCAACAACAGTCCAAAGCAAACATATTTCCTTCAGAAAGTGATAATTTCCACTTTCATAATTGTGGATTGGGAAAGACATTGGATCTTTGCAGAGATTTGGATTTTTTTATATGTATACCTGAAGAGAATTCGTAAGAAGATGACGAGCGGATAATTTCTATTTTCATTTCTAGAATGTTCTCGATGCTTTGCGACGTAAAAAAAGTCATAAAAAAAACAAGTATTCATAATAATTTAATAACCGTCTGTAGATTGTATAAAAAAAAAAAGGAATAATAATTACCTTTACCCAATATTATATACGTAGTCTTTTAGCACCTTTAAAGCGAGGCATTGTTTCTGTTAAACTTTCTCCCGCATACAAACAACGTTTAGACCAAAGTAAAGCTACTCGAGTAGTTACTTACTTGGCGATCACCTGTCAGGTGAGCAAGCTCCACCATTTCCGCTCCAAATTGGCTGAATGCCTTCACGAAATCGGTGAAGTTCGAGACACTTTCAAGGCGGCCAAGGCTGCGAGCCACCTTGTCCTTCGCAAGAAGGAGTTGCTTGACCACGACAATGTCCGCCAGTAAAAGAACCCTCGTCACAGAACCGAGAAGACATCTAGCCGCCCTGACGACGGAGCCTCGGTCAGCTAGGCTGTCCTCCATCGCGCATTCGCATAATTTCTCGATCGCCGAGCCTGGAAAACGATCGTCATTGTGTTAGGACATCCAGATTCTGTTACGAAATCGAAGGGAAATCGCGCGTAGTTGCATAGTCAGCTATATTCGATTTGTATCACGTAATACTTCATCCACTTTTTGCATATTACCTGATTCACCACATTCATATATTCCGAAGTTCTCCATTGCAAATTTAAAAGTATTACGACTCGAGATTTTTAGAGGAGCGGCGAGTTTACGAATAAATAATTTCAATTGTATTGAATATTTATTATCAATAACTCCCTCAGTGAGTTATTTATCAGGGTTCTAAATATTCAGTTCATAGACTTTCATAAACTTTAACAACACTCTTAGCGTTGTAATATTCAGAAGATAAAAGGAGATTTAATGTCACATAATTTAGTTTGCATATTACGTGAATTAGTATAAAATTGTGTGTATGGAGACATAAACTAAACGCTTCGCGCATCATCAAAATGACAACTCAATAGTATTGTTCGAGACCATTTTCTAGCCAGAATACGAATGAATTTCTTGAAAGAGAAATGACGTTAATGCATTAAATTCCCTCATTCTAATATAATGACGTGTCATCGAGGAAATAGCGCGGTAGTGACGCAATGCTTAGTGAAGCTTTTATATGTCATACATGCTCATTGCAGACACAGAGATTTCTAAAATTAGAGCGCCCTAAGTGTGCGTAATTAAGCACTCGTCCTATTTCCGAGGTTCTTTCTCTAAATAACGGAATTACACAATTAGCTGCACTGAACAATAGCAAGACATGATCATATTTTAAATAATTACCAGACTCATTTCAAGTTCCCACCCTCACGATGAATCAAGTTAGCTAGAGTATTACTGTAGTTAGAAGGAACAGACATTATTAAATTTTTGAGACATTCCAAAGTACTCTTCATAAAAAGTTCGCTAATTTCAGTTTATATGTTTAATTTACATAACCTTCTTCAAAGATTGTAATTGAGATTGAAATTATTATTTACGAAGAAATCACTCTTGTTAATCTTCCATATTCTTAAACTTCTTTCTTAACGAGCAACCAATTATTTAGTTATGTAACTACTTCGCAGTAAAAGCCATCATTATAAGTTATAATTAAGCGGATTATATAATAGAATGAAAATTCTCAAATTTACTAGTACCATAATTATTAGATCCAAGAGTGATTTTAATTTCGCATTGAATTCGTGATTTAGAATTAGTAATGTATTTTTAAAGAGAACAGATCCAACAGAATCTCAAGAGCGGATTTGCATACCCTTAATATTATATGGAAAATGTTCAATGCAAATCCAACTCTCGCGTACGCACACATTACATTTCCAAGCCTTTGGCGGATAATCCTGCTGTGCAATAGCTCGTCTCCAATATCGTCGTGCCACCACAATCGAATTTCCTTTCATCTCGCGCGATGAATATTTATCATCTTATGAAATGCGCCGAACGTGTGGTGAAGAATATCGAATGCATTCTGATTCGCTCGTATTGGCGTGAAAGTTCATACAGAGGGTGTCTCGGTAATCAAACGATTCTATTCTTTAATCGTGTGTTTAATATATTTTCACTGATGAGATTAGAGCGATAGTTATTTTAGGAGAATTGATTAAAATCTGTTATTTACGAAATTTTAAATGAATTGTTTTCGTGTAACCAGTGCTTTGTAAGTAAATTTATACTTTTGTCGCAATTGCCACTCGTGAGAAACTGGTAAAATGTTTCAGCTTATACATCCACTTTTTTCAACGTAGTAATAAATCTCTGACATAGCGAAACGTTCTCAATTAAACGAGAATAACTGTGGGAAAATTCTCTGTCGAATTCGCTTGGAATACAACGTGAAGGAGTGTTTACGCTTAGAATTACGAAGAATTAACACATATTATTCCTGACAGAGGTGTTACATACAATATAAATTATTACTTGTGAATGTGACAAAAATTATTTTATTTATAATTTATTTTAATCATGAATAAATTATAGTAAAATTGTATATTAATAAATTTCATATTAATACAATTTTATCATGACAAATTTTCATTACTTTTTAATTTTATTACAAAAAGATAAAATCCTAAAGCTCCTTTTAAAAAATATTGTTTTGATTAACACTGTATATCTTAACTTAATTTAGTAAATAATATCTTGCAGAATCAGTGACATTAAAGAACTCCTTTCTGAAGTTGTACAATGAAAGTCGCGAATATGCAAAACTATCCTAATAAAAGTTGGCTGACAATCAAATTTATGAAGTATTAATTACGTTACGTTATCCGTCAGATCGACGTGGTCGTGTTCCGCAATTTTTTCAACCGCGATGCCACGTAGTCAACTTTTTCGACCAGAGAATGAAATTCCTTCATTTAAGCTGGCGCCCGAGATATTATTTTTCTCATTTCGTATTTCAGCAGTCGTCGTCCGGGCTTTCTAATTACGTGTCGCCGTAAAGCAACTATCCGAGAAATTATGAGAATTAAATTGCGTTACCTCGATATTAATTTTCATCCAAGCCACTTGATAAGTCGCAAGCTTTCAATTTCACGTAATCGTTACTCGATTCATGAAACTTTTCAACTGCTACACGAGAACTTGTATACCGTGCTACTTTTCAATCGTAATTAATTTCGCCAGTTTCCTTGCAATGGGGTGATCGTTAAGAAATGATGCCAAAATTCCCTGATAAATGTAACATTGTAAGATTATAGCCTTCTCAGATTTAAAGTAGATTTTAATGTATATTAATTTCTTGATGCAAACCAATTTTTTTCTTGATTGTTTGCTTCATTTAAATCAAACCTTATTTTCTAATCCCAAATAGTCCTAATTTTCTTTTATAATCTTTATTTGATTTACATACTTTTACTGTGATGTCGTAATATTCTTTTTTTATTTTGTTCGTATTTTCGAATTATTCCTATTTAGTGGAATCTGTGTAATCTGAATAATAGAATAATTTGAATCTGATTTGTATAATCCTCCTGAGAGCCGTGATAAATATTTTTGTTTACCCCATTTACATGCTTTCGAACAGCAACGGATAGACTCTAGTCTTCCGTTCCTGCTTATTATGAAGTTTCACCTGGTCGTCCAAGTTTCGAAGTTCATACAGCCGTAAATTTTTACGTTGGGTCAATGCTGGAAAATGAAGTTCTTCAAGGAACAGGAAGTTTTTCACTACGGCGAACGAAACTTTTATGGCATCTACAGTTTCTTAATAGAATCCTTCCTGCAGCGTGCTGCATTCTTATCACTCGTTCAATTTGAATTTATTTTCATTCTCCCACGTCGTGCACGATTTGCTATATATTCAATCGCACATATTTTCAAACTAATTCCAAGTCGAAAATAATTTTATATTAATGCTTTGTATTTAGAAAAATTGTTTTAATTTTGGGGACCAACAACTTCGTGACAATTTGATGGTGTTGCATTTGAGAATTAAAAGTGTTATTTATTTTATGAAAATTTGTGGCTGTATGTAAATGTAACAAAATGAAATAAAACACAATAAAAGTAATCTACAATGTGGACATTTATTCATTAATCTTTTCGATAAGGAAGAAGTTCATGCATTGTAATATTTAACTGATGTTAATAATACAGGAAAGACTATTGCACGGAAATTTATGAAAGAATTTTCTCAGGTTGAATGAAATTCTTTTCCTAACTTAAACACGATTGACTGAGTTATCGATCAGCAGTCGTATAAAAAGCAAGAGCTTCTAGATTGATAATGTAAAGGAAGTTTAACGAAGCGTTAAGTGATAGGGTTTTTGTATTCGGTGATCACACCAAGCACCACAGACAAGGACCAAACGAAGTAGAAGAGAAGATACGGCGTTGGGTTCAGCTAAATCACCGTTTCCCGTTCTTTTCATTTTACGCGATCGACCAATAAATTTCCCATATTCCATAATGACGACGACGATATCTTATCGAAGAACTCTGAAGAGCGTGCTTTTATCGTGTGGAATTATTTTCAAATGCAGTATTTGTTTATCTTTTACAGGTTAACCTACTAAATTACACCTAAGTTTTCCAAATGCAATAACTACTTTTTCGCATATTTTAAATCAATAACAAGCCTGAGTTCACGAAACAATGATTTCGGAACACCTCCATCGATCGAGACGATACACAGACATCTGTTTCGTTTGTAGTACAACGCGCGACAGCAAAACCGCTGGAAAATGTTACCCTCAACGTTTCAGAGACCCCGTGAACCGAATTTAGGACTTTCCGCTTGGCGTTTTGCACTCTGATAGTAACCTAGAAGGCATAGCCGCGTAACGTAATCAGTTCAGCTGCCTTGATAGCGAAACCTTACGATGCTTTATGCAGATTGAGTATCAAGTACGCCATGCAATCCCCCTTGACCCAATTTAACAATCACAGAAGTGTATTACTTTGTCCTGGCTCAATAGTAGACTGAACTATTTTTCCGTCGCGTCTGCCCAATAAGCGGATCCTTCACTGAAAGCGAAAGTTCCAGTTCGAAAAGAGTTTTTTGTATTAAGTCGATCACAGTTTCAGATACTTGAGACGATATAGTCTTTTAATCTTGTTAATATCATTTTTTTGCTAAATGAAATTTAGTTTCATATAAAATTGCATTGTCTAGAGCTCTTCAGGTTCTGTGTACATTGCAATGTATAATATGAAGTCCAATCATATAAATACATTTTGTATATAGCATAAATAAAATGTACATCTATTAAGATTGATATTTGTGTTATAATTATTTCAAGAATTGTCAGTGTAATCATCCAAATTTATGAATATAAATTTAGTCAATATAATTGTATTCGCTTAACCTCCAATTTCTTTAAATAATAGCAACATAGATAATAATTATTCCTATAATGATTACTTTTACTTATTCTTCATTCGTTACCTCACCCTTTCTTCAAATTTTCAAGCAACTTCTTGAATTACCATTCTATTCTCATTCCACATAATAAAGCAAAGTTGAAAAGAACCTGCATTCATTCTTTTA